CGTCTATAGGCAGCATACTAAAGACATAAAATGAATTATGTGTGATGGAATATGTTTGTGGACATATTTAGATCGTATTTCTGCAAGAATCATCGCGAAAGACCTATTGGTCTCGAAGATATCGGCCGAAATCTATAACAACCCAAAAATGTTTATCACAAAAAAGTACTTTGCTTTTTATAATAATTTTAGAAAAAAAATATCACATAAAACACGTTTGGTCTTTTTATAGTTACAATTGCGTTTACCAGATACTATAAGCGATTTGTCGACGATTCCAATACATCACGGCATTTTTTCGTGGATATTTTCTCACATTTACATTCAATACATTCTCCATCAGTATTTCATTTAATATTTGGTATTTTCTCGTCCTAATCTTAAGATGAGAGTATTAAACATAATCATTGCGGCTTCAAAACATCCCAAATATGTTTAGAATAATAAAAAATAGGTTTTGCAAAATATAACTCGAGGACAGAACCTTAAAAACTATTAAAACCAAAATCTGACAAACAAATTATTTTAAAAAATTCGCGAAACCCAATTTTTCTGACTTCGAAATTTGTACGGTCCACTAATATTGATCTAGGAACCAATATATGCAATGGAAATACCAATAAGGTGATCAGATTCAAAGATATGAACAATTCTAACACAATAGTAATAAAAAACAATACATGAAGTTGGAAGAAAACATCATTATTCGTCAAATCCTATTGTCTTTTGAAAAACTGTGGTTGCTGGTGGCGAATACGCATTCTATATTTTATCTCCGATTAACACCATCAGTTGCGAATAAAATGCAGTAGGGAATAAAGGGGTCGATCTATTTATTTTCGAAATATGATGTATTTCTATTGCCAGAAAACCGTCCATATCTTTGAATCTGACCTCCTTATTGCTACTATCATCGTATATTTTGGTTCCTAGATCAGTAATAATGAACCATAAATTTTTCGAAGTTAGAAAAATGGGGTTTCGCGATATTTTTTTAAATAATTTGTTTGTCGGATCTTGGTTTTAATAGTTTTTAAGGTCCTGTCCTCGCGATATATTTTGTAAAACCTCCTTTTTATTATTCTTAACATATTTGGGATGTTTTGAAGCCGCGAAGACTATATTTAATACTCTGATTTTGAGATTAGGACGAGAAATTACAAAATATTAAATAAAATATTGCTGGAGAACGTATTGAAGGTAAATGTTAGAAAATACTCGCGAAAAAATGCCGTGGTTTATTGGAATCGTTGCCAAGTCACTTATAGTATGTCGTTACCCGCAATGGTAACTATAAAAAGACCAAACGTGTTCTATGTAACATTTTTTTCTAAAATAATTATAAAAAGCAAAATACTTTTTTGTGATAAACATTTTTGGATTGTTATAGATTTCGGCCGATAACTTCGAGACCAATAGGTCTTTCGCAATGATATGTCCACAAACATATTCCATCACACATAATTCATTTTATGACTTTAGTATGCTGGCAATAGACGTATATATTGGAATTTTGTCAAATTTGTATTGAGGCAAAATACTTATTACACTCACTGTAGATATTTAAATAAAATTTGTGCCATATGGTAGATAAAATTATATAGTTTATGGTGACATTTTTATACCTTTGACCACACTGTGATACAGGGTATTATGTCTTTGTGCATATGTTTGTAACAGGCAAAAATAATCGAGATAGACCGTGGTTCCTTTTGAGAATATGCATAGAATCACTTGCTGAGTCGATTTATGCATGTCCGTCCGTCCATGTTAAATTGTAAACAAAGTACAGGTGCATTTATGATCCGAATTGGATGAAATTTGGTACAGCTCATTTTTTTGGTCCAAGGACGAACCCTATTGACATTTAAGGTAAATGGTGTACCAAAGTCCCTATATATCTTTCGATTTGCACGAAATTTGGCATAGCGTACTGAATTAAGTCTAGAATGATGTGTGCAAAGTTTCCTGAGAATCGGTTCATTTTAGTCTATAATGATGTGTGCAAAAAAATCGGTTCAGATTTAGATATAGCTCCCATATATATCTTCCTCCGATTTATGCCAATTGGTGCATCAAAGGCCCTACGTATCTTTAGATTTGCACGAAATTTGGCATATCGTACTGAATTAAGTCTAGAATTATGTGTGCAAAGTTTTGTGAAAATCAGATTTAGATATATCTCCCATATATATCTTCTTCCGATTTAAGGTAAATTTTGTACCAAAGTCCATATATATCATTCGATTTGCACGAAATTTGGCATAGCGTACTAGCATAGCGTCTATAATGATGTGTGCAAATTTTCGTGAAAATCGGTCCAGATTTAGATATAGCTCCCATATATATCTTCGTCCGATTTAAGATAAATTGTGTACCAAAGTCCCTATATATCTTTCGATTTGCACGAATTTTGGTATAGAGTACAATATACCCAAAGTGGTGAAGGGTATCATATAGTCGGACCAGTCCGACTTTTCTACTTTCCTTACTGGTTGAATATGAAAAGTAGTATTGAAATTTTCCTTAATTTCCCTGGATAATATTTTTGTTATAGAAATTATTTGATGGTCATAGTAAAATGCCAGCTTCGCGAAGATACAATTTTCCGTTCACAAGATATACGCTTCGAAAGTTGGACTCGAAAAACGGTTGTGTCTGATTTGAAATATGGCCATTAATGTATGGCGCTGATAACGTTATCATAAAAAAACTTACCTCATTTCGTCACAACTATTACATTGTGTGGGAGTTAGTAGAAAGAGTGAACCGATAGATCCTATATTCGAACTTGATTTAAGTTTGAAAGCCATATTACGATGTGCGCTTTGTAGGGTAGGATTTAAGTTTGGAAGAAATATTACGATGTGCAACGTTTGGATGAAATCAGTTAATCTGTTGACGAAGACGATTATGGGTTGGTGGTCTGAACCAAAAGAAAATACAAGGTGTCAGTTACGACCCGGTGTTACTATTGTGATTTCTGGCGAGTTTTGGTAGTCTTCCCCTATTCTGGTTAGGCATTCTCATTCATCATTTATGTAGTGCCAGGTTATTAAATTTTTAAGAGCGGACTAATACCCATTAATCTTAGGTATGTATAGGCACCTACTGTACGGGCACTAAAGTCTAGCTCAAGCAACATAGATCTGCATTGGCTATATGTAGATTAGGGAAACGTAGTAGAGCGCAAAAGTCGACTTTTAGATTTTTGCCTTGGACTAAAAATTCTACTTTTCGATCTTTCGATTTTGTCAGATATGTTCAAAATCGATTTTTGACTTTTACCGACTAAACAACAATAAACAGATAAAATAGAGTTCTGGAACGTGTTATAAACCGAGTATTTAAGAATAAAATTGATCTTGAAAGTTGACATTGTGATTTCCTCAAAGATCAAAAGTCAACTTTGGCTTTTAAAATTATATTTTCAATAAAAAAATCGATTAGTCGAAAGTCGATTTTCTTTTCTAAATAACAGCATTTTTAGCCATTTAAACAGCATTTTTTTATAGCCTCCACCATAGTATGGAGGGTATATTAATTTTGTTTTTCCGTTTGTAACTCATCGAAATAATCATTTCCGACCCTATAAAGTATATATATTCTTGATCACCGTAAAATTCTATGACGATATAGCTATGTCCGTCTGTCTGTCTGTCCGTCTGTCTGTTGTAATCACTCTAGCGTCTAAACGAATTGAGATAGATCACCAAAATGTTGCATAGATACGTCATTTGTCTGCAGGCAGGTCAAGTTTGAAGATGGGCTTTATCGGTCCACGTTTAGGCATAGCTCCCATACAAGGGTAACCACCAATTTTGCGGTATTTTGGGGGGTTTGATCGCATTTTTCGACCGAATTCGCTGAAATTCGGTACTTTGAGTTCTTATTGGGTAGCAAATCTTCCTACTAAAAATTATAAATTTTGGTCAATTTTTCGGGTAGCCCCCATATAAGGGTACCCCCCAATTATCAATATTTTAGGGTACCCCCAATTTTCGAAATTATTAGGCATAGCTCCCATACAAGGGTAACCCCCAATTTTCGGTATTTTGAGGTTCTTGAGCCCGTTTTCAACCGAATTCGCTGAAATTTGGTATTTAGTAGTCGTAACGATTGGGTAGTCGTTACGTGGAATAGTCAATGTTTACCCTACAAAGACGTTTTAGCCATCTGTTGTAAGCATTCCGCCTTCTAAAGATATTGTGATAAAAATCTCAAACATGGCAATAATGAAATATAACGGCAGACATTTAGGCATCTCCTCAATATAGAGATACCTCCTGAAGGAAATCATTGATATAAACAATTAAAATATTGGGTTCAAAATTGGCATATATCGGTCATTAATTTGACATAGCCCTCATATAATGATATCCCCAAATATTCACTATTTCCTACACTATGTAGTCAAGATTGGTCCCCCTTTTATGCATACCCTCATATAACTTTGTAATCTAAATTACAGTAGTTTGAGGATTTTATACTCCACCATGCGTTATCAGTATAATTCCACTTTTCGATCTTATAGATTTTTTGATCTTATAGATTTTTGATCATATAGATTTTAGAAAAATCTCCATTAAAAATTGCTGAAGTTTGTATTTGGTGTACATAATGGTTTACATAAATCGGTTTGTAGAATTATCGGTATATGCCAACTTTTTGGTATGTTCCCTATATTTTCATTGCATGTATCTGTCAGTATAACTATGGTGGAGGGTATCCAAAGTTCGGCCCGGCCGAACTTAACGCTTTTTCACTTGTTAAACTTTACGTATATTACCCTTATGCTCTATTATTATATATATTTATTGTATAAAAATATTATAAAAAATCCATTGTTATATTAGGAACATTTTATAAAAATACAACAATTTTATTTACAGTTTTTCACTTAAACTTTACAATAAAATTTTAAACTTCCAACAATAACAAAACAATCTTAAATATTATTAACAAAATAAATAAATTAAGCGAAAAAAGGATTTCAAAACTTATCTAATAACTAGTTTAGTATTTTCGGCATCTTTAATGTATTTATATTTGTATTTTTCAAATATTTCATTCAAACTTTCGATTACTTTTTCATGAATCTCATTGACGTACTGTGTATCGGGTTCATCCATTTGTTTGACGACAATGGGTGCGCCCACAACTTGAACAATATGACGACGATGGGGCAAGAGGCCAAATGTATACTGGAAGAGACCGCGACCCAAAACAATTAGTGGCGACACACCAGTCAAGTGTTTGACAAATGATTGGAATTTCCGCAGCATAGAATCGGGAGGATTGGCGACCTGATCGAAAATATCAACCTCACCAAACGAGAAGGAGGGTACAATGGGAGTTCTGCAACAAAATCATATTTTTAATAAGGTTATTTGTAAATTATTTATTTTGTTTTTCAACTTACCCCGACCGTATGGCAATTTTAACAAAACCTTTACGATTTTTCAATACCAAAACATAACGTCCCGGATGTGACTCCAATGACTCTTCAGCACCACCTACCAACAAGGCCACAGCATTTGATGTATAGCCATCACGATTATCTGGATGTTTGGGATCATTGGATTTGTTGAGATAATACAGCAGAGATTGTTTCGAGCACGATACCAAACCCCAAAGCCGTAACACTTCACGCATAAATGGTATACGGAAATGTATATCCAAGGTGGCAATTTTTGGCCGAATACCAGGATATAATTTCAACCATTTGCCAATGTTGTTGCCCATATTGTTGGTGACACCAGTTCTGCAGGGAGATAAAGGGGAGATTAAAAAACAAGTAAAAACGTCGTGCGCATTTAAAATGCCTAAAATCGTCGGTATATTTATTTGGGGACATTGAGAATTTTCAGGAATGAGTTTTTTTCTTTGTGTAAAGCGAAATTCCAAATTACAGGAAAATGTGGGTAAGACTTTCAGCATATCGGAATGAGTTTTTTTCTTTGTGTAAAGCGATTCCAAATTACAGGAAAATGTGGGTAAGACTTTCAGCATATCGAAAATAGTGGGACCTTTATTCGAACATGAGCCTATATTGAAATTTGGCTGGGAATAAGTTTTTTTTTACCCACTAAGAACTCAGAATTTCAAATTGCACCCACTTCAGTTGGAAACGGCGAATACAAACCCGAAATCGGCTTTTTATCCACGAGATCCCGAAAAGTTAAATTATAACATTTTTGTTTGGAAACGAGGACCTTTTAATGAGAGTAATGTCAAAATATGGACCATCGAAATATATACAACGTGGTGGAACCTTTATATGGGCCTTCGTCAAAACATATTGCAATTTCTCTAAAATTATGTTTCAGGCCTTAAAGAACCCGGAATTTCAAATAACAGCCACTTCGTTTGGAAAATGTGCCTAGGACCATGAGAATACCTAAAATGCAGCGGAACCTCCATATGAGAACACTATAAAAAAATTGACCTATATTGACAAATTTTTGCTGTTTACCCTTGAGAACCTGGAAGAACAAATTTCAGCCACTTCCGTTAGGACTTGACCCAGGACCCTTACTGGAAGCTATGTAAAAATATGAATCTACACTGACAATTTTTTTTCAAAGAAATTATTTAACCGCCAAATTACAAACACTTTTATTGAAAAAAAACCTAGGACCCTTAAAACGCATAAAATGGAGTGGGAGCTTTATATGGGGGCTATGTCAAAGCAAAGTCCCTCAAACGTAGTGGTAACTTTTTATGGGATGTATGTCGAAACAAAGTCCAATATCACCCTTTCGAGAAGGCGAAATACCAAACTACAGCCTTTTCGGTTTGGAAAAAGCGGCTAAATGTAAATTACCTCCAAAACTGCCAAATTACTGTCCGTCAATAGGGCAATGAAGCGGGGTGGCCCAATTAAATATATTCCTGATCAGAATAAAATTCTATGTCGATTAGCCATATCCGTCTGTGGAATCTATTGTGATTTCCGGACTATTTAAGACAGAGTTTTGAATTGGTTTTGATATAGCCCCATATAATGGTACCGTCCGATTTTCGGTATTTTGAAGGCTTTAACCGAATTTTCCCAACAATGCGGCTGCATTTGGACCTTCCGATTTCTGGGAGGGTGAAAAACATATTTGCAGAAAACTGACTATATAGATCCATTTTGTGACCTCCATAAGGTTTTAGACGCATTTTCCAACCAAAAGGACTGTAAATTCGCATTTCGAGTTCTTGGAAAGTGACAAAGACCTATGTAATATTGGCAATCTAGGAGCAAAATATCATTGATGTAGCTCAAATATTTTGATATCCATAGATATTTAAAAAGACAGACTATATGTGTATAGTAGAAGGGATTATACGGAAGTTCTCTTTACCAACCCACAGATCTTATGGAATGGGAAGCTATCTGAAGCGATAATTGAGAAACTCTATGAAATTTTACAAATCAGAGTTCCCATGGCTCAAGAAAGTACAGCGTTCTAAAGTTATAAATCCGATGGGTCTATTGACGGATACAATGATAAGGATGTTGTCTGAACCAAGAAAAATTACAATCGAAACCTAAAGAATGGTAAAACATTTTCCGGGATTTTTGGATACCGTCGCTACAACCGATATATGGTTAAAACGGCGTCATTAGAAAAGAATCTCACATTATGGTGGAGGATGTAAAAAATTGTTAATTTTGTCGTTCAAGTCTTGGGAGACCTTCCCTCTTTTTAAAGTACACATTTTTGCTTATTTTCTTATTTTTCAAAATAGAAACTAATAGAAACATAAAGAAGCCATCGTCATCATAGTTCTCCATGGGGGGACTGATTTGATTTTCCATTTGATAATTTTTTTTTTTGTTGATTGATTAAATTGCAATGTCAATGAATTTTATTTTTGGTATTTATTGCTCAGAACTTAGATAAGATTATTATAATAATTTAAAAAAAGAAAAAAAATGTTGAGTGTTTTTTTTATAATACTGCACCACAAGTAATAACATTCAAGTTGTTAAACTAGGGTTTCTATCTGCTATACATAACTATGATAATATTTTTCCAGCTAAATTGTAAAAATTCAAACTAAAAATAACAACAAAGAACAATAACGCATTCATAAACAGTAAAGCTTAAGTAATAAAAAAGTCAGTATAGTAAAATTGTTAAGTTCATTTATTTTTAATTACAATTTTGAACCTGACCTGCTTGCCATTGAATGTAAAAATAAATAACCAATGTAGAAATTGTGAGAGGAGAAAAGTTAACATGGCTTTATATTAAGTGTCTAATCAGTAGAAGCTATAAAAAACGAGAAAAAATACTCTCTATAAAATCAAAGTCGGAGGGTACACAATAGACTTAAAAAACTTCGGTTCGAAAAAATGCGATTTATGATTATTTTTATACAAATTGTCAATTTCCGATTGAGACACACCCAAAACATAGGGTTTAATCGATCGACAGCATTTTCTGGTGACGAAAATCGCTGACCAGTATCAGACAGACAACGCAGGAAATATATATAACAGTCCTCCTATTTTTTTCCAAATCCTACTTCTATCTAAATCTAGTTCTCCCACCAATATGCGCAACATAAAGATATATTCTTTAAATCTTGAAACGGATCACATTTTTGGTTAAGCGGTTAACGCGATGTTAATTGTTTACCCTCCAGCATGTGGACAACACTTCGAAATATTTGCAACACTTCGAAATATTTGTCAGAGACTCCCTCAAAATGTATTAATGATCCGAATAAAATTCTATGTCGATTAGTTTAGTCTGTGCAAATCACGACATAGACCACAATATTTAAGACAGTGAATTGAAATATTGGTACCGTACGATTTTTGTTATTTTGAAGGCTTTAACCGAATTTCCCCAACAATGCAGCTGCAATTGGGCATTCCGATTTCAGGGAGGGTCAAAAGCAGAAAAAATTTTGAGATCTTGGAAGGTAACATAGATCTATGCAAAAATGTATTCGGCATAGCCTTCCATATAAAAGTTCCGACTCATGTTCGGTATTTTGAAGGTTTTAGTTGTGATTTCTAACTGAAAGGACTGTAATTTGGTCCGTTTGAAGAGTGAGAAATCTTTTCAATAGGAATCCAAATCATATAAACGTCTCACTCCATATTTGATATTCTCAAGTTTTTTTAGCCAAATTTAGTATTTCTAAGTCTTTAGGCTCACAGACGTGCCCTCTGTCCACAAAATCTATGCTAGTAAATAGGGTAAAGTGATTGACTGACTTAACGATTCATCAACGCCCGGACGAAACGGCTGAAACTAAAATCTTGTAATTTTGGATTTGGGTCACTCTTGGTTGGGCTGGATTTTTTTGAAAATTCGAACTAGAACGGTACGAAAAGTACTACATGTAGTAAAATTTCTATTTGGCAAATCGGAGAATTGCGAAATGAATAGAATAGATATAGCAAAGGGTTTTTGGACATTCGAACTATAAGTATCCAAAAAGTACTAAATTTGGTACACAATCGTGTGAATGGATAAAGCCAAAAATTTTAAATTTGGAATGCGAATTAAGGTCGAGAAGTACGGTCGATATAAGCATATTTTTTTGAAAACGTGTACTCATGGTACTATATTTGATACAAATTTAATTTCGAGGTACAAATGGAACTGGAATACTGAAATTAACATTACCGTCGGAGTATAGGATTGGGACATGTACGTGATTTTGGAAATTGTTTACTTATGTGTACGTAAAGTACTAAATAGTACTATAATTAGTAAAATTTGGATTTGTGTGAAGAGGTAGAGCTGGGATCCTGAAATTAGGAGTTACGATCATTGTTGGTACGAAGAATTGGTGTATGTAAGAAATTTTGGAAATTCGTACTAATGTGTACGATATGGTACCAAATTTGGATTAATTAACGTTAGTGCTGGAATCTTGACATTTGGAGTTCGGATCATTGTTGGGAGGGTAGAATTGAGTTATTCAGGAAGTTTTGGAAATTTCTACTAATGTGAACTAAATATGGTACAAATTTGGAATCCTGAAATTTGAAATTAGAATGTTTTGGAAATTAGTATTAATGTGTACAAAATGTGGATTAAGGTGAACCGATATAGCTGGAACGCTGAAATTTGGAAATATATTTAATGTTGGAGTGTAGGATTGTTGTATGGATGTAGTTTTCAAAATGCATACTTATGGATACTAAATTTGGTACAATTTGAATTTTGGAATTTTTATACCCTACACAACTATGTTGTCAGGGTATTATAACTTTGTGCAGCCCCAAAAGTTTGTAACGCCGCGAAATATTGGTCCTAGACCCACCTTTAAGTATACCGATCGTGATATCTCGACTAGCTGAGTCGATCTAGACATGTGTGTCCGTCCGTCTGTCCATTAGAATTTGTAAACACTTTACAGGCCACATAATTGACCAATATCCACGAAATTTTGCATGTAGGATGGGTTCTGGGCAATATTTAGGGGATGAAATAGGCCAAATACTTAATGTTTATCCGTTTTTCTGGTCGCTCCAGAGGCCGCATTATGGCCCGAACGTCGCGAAATTTTACATGGAGAAAGGGATCGGGCTAAAGAATAAGCAAACCTGTTTTGATAAAGATCGGCCAATATTTAGCGGCTCAAATGGACCCTGACTTTTGCGTGAAAAATTACAAATTTGGATTCTATGGCGTATACATTTACTCCAGCATGATATAGACCCGAGATGTTGATATTATATCCAAGAGGAGTGGTTGACCTTTAAATTGATACCAATTATATTGTCGTATGTACTCGGATGTGGGAGTTGCACTTAAATATTTACAGGTGATTACGTATTCAGATATTATTTAGTAACCCATTACCACACTAGACGGTGTAAATATAGCGCTGATCGCTTTGAAATTTTCCATGAGGATCCAGGTATGGTCAAGGACAACGCCTATAATTTTCGATTATAATCAGATAATAATTTTGGGATGAAGTGGACCGAAAACTTAATTTTTTGTGTGTTTTCAAGTCGATCTATAGCCACAATTGAAAGCTGAACGTCTCAAAAAATTCCACGGTGAAGGGAATCTGTACAAGTAATTAGAAGAGCTGTACTGAATATTAGTAATATTTGTTGACCTCTAGACGGTCAAAAGGGTGCAAATATAGCGAAATATTGCCCAAGCTCAGAATATAGAAGCACAGAATGTTATATTTTCGTGGAAGTTGTGTGGGGTATCATATGATCGGCCCCGTCGACTATACTGCTCCGCTCACAGGTTATTGGTACCATTGAAAATTTAAGTTAGGATCACTTTAAGGGTGTTGGATTGGGGTATGTAAGAAGTTTTGGAAATGCCTACTAAATGACACTAAATTTGTTGCAATTTGGATTTAGAGTGAACCGATAGAGCTGGAATTCTGACATTCGGCAATAAGATTTTCATTGGATTGCATGATGTAGCTAGTAATGGAAATACGTATGTGTACTAAATTTGATATAATTTGGATTTAAGTGAATCGATAGTGCTGGAATCCTGAGATTTGGAATTATGATTGTGTTTCCTATGTGGTATTTATATTGATTTGGGTGAACCTATATATGAAATTTTGCATTTTTTTTCAAAATAAGTATTACAAGAGTACAAAGGGTAATAAATGAGACGAAATTTAGTATAGAGCTAGATTTCTGTTGTGGTCCGAATTGGTGTGTACAACTTTGATATGGTGGTACTTTTGGAAATATGTACTATAAGAGAATGTGCTATAATTTTAATTATGATCGGTATTGGTTTTTAAATAATTGCCACATTCGCTAACGAAGTACCGAGCAGATGATAGTATTTCATATAGACGCAAATTCTAACACCCTACGAAGGTATCGGTTAATGAGATTTATATGTACAGAATAACGTGTTAAAATTTGAAACCGATTTGGATTAATAGTTTTTGTGTTATAGTGCTTGCCATTCGTAATATACTTGATGCTAATGCAAAAAATCGGCTATATCTTAAAGAATTGTCGAGATTTTCACTTGAAATTTTAATGAGACATTCTTGAGAAGTTATAGGTATATATTAGATGCAAATTTTTGTTACGATAGGTTCAAAACTTAAATTTGTAACGGTTAGAGGACCCCAATTGAATCCAGAAAATTATAGATGAAAAATGTTTTCAAAATTGTATCATATTATCGGTCAAATTTATCGGTCACTTGCAAAAATAAACCATAAACCCGATAAATGAGCAATTTGCAAATGGAAACAAATACTTATCTGCGTACATATTAGAAAAACAAAAACATTTGTTAATTTTTTATGCCATTAAAAATACGCAACATTTTTATCTGGATATCAAAATAATCAGCCGCAAACAATTTGCAAAACTTTGTTCATATCGATAAACTGGTTTTATGTAAGTCAACAACTATACAACACATTCAAGGTTTCCTTTCAAGATTTCCACAAAAAATAAGAAGAAAAAAAAACACACTTGGAAAAACTTACCCAATAATGCCATGTGGAAAACTGACCACCAAATAATTGCGATCCGGTGTCAATTCAGCGGTTTTAATCAATTCAATGGGAAAATAGTCACGCAAGTGATTGGTCATAAAGTTGTTACGCAAAAATTTCCAGCTGTTGGGGAAAAAAAAATAAGAAAAATTTAAAAATTAGTTATTGTTGTACGAATAGAAAGAACATTTAAACCAGTGCTGAGATTCGTGAAAATCGGTTCAGATTTAGATATAGCTCCCATATATATTTTCGCCCGATTTTATTTAAATTGTGCACAAAAGTCGTTATATATCCTTCGATTTCGACTGTATAGGTTTTATCATCGACCTACTTTAAAATGTTTATATTCTCAATAATAAAGCAATAAATAGCTTTGTTCCTTAAGGTTTTTAATAGTGAACCTCGCAAAAGTGCCAAATGTCAACATCGGTTAGACCAAAAGTACTAACGCAAATTCCGCAGTGAAACTTGTTCAGTATAAAAAAAATTAAAAGAAAAAATGCCAATAAAATTATATATTTCCTAATTGTGATCGAATGTTTTAAATTTTAAATTACGGATGGAAATTAATTTTTAATACCCATTTAGAATATTTCATTCTTAAATTTAACAATTAATTTTTGTTTGCTTATATTTTATTAAACCAAATTGTAGATATACCAGTTTGAATTAAACATCATTAAATACTCACCCATTACCATCCAGAGCCGATGCCCGTTTTGTGTGATCAAAATAAATATATGTCAAATAGATCAACAGCAGAGCTCGTCCAATATAATTCAAATAGAGCTGCAACAATTAATACGAAAAAAAAACAATGATATGATATGATATTATGTATTTGTGCATATGTTTGTAACATGCAAAAGGAAACGAGATGATGTGTGCTAGAATCACTTTCTGAGTCGATTTATGCATGTCCGTCTGTCCATCTGTTAGTGTTAAATTGGAAAAACGTACAGGTCGCATTTATAATCCAATTTGGATGACATTTGGTACAGCTCATTTGTTTGGCCCAAGGACAAACCCTATTGAAATTGGGGAAAATCCGTTCAGATTTAGATATAGCTCCCATATATAGTTTCGTCCGATTTTATGTATATGGTGTACCAAAGTCCCTTTATATCTCTCGATTTGCGCGAAATTTGGCAAAGCGTACTGAAATAAGTGTAGAATGATGTGTGCTGAGATTCGTGAAAATCGGTTCAGATTTAGATATAGCTCCCATATATATTTTCGTCCGATTTTATTTAAATTGTGCACAAAAGTCGTTATATATCCTTCGATTTGCACGAAATTTGGCACATCGCACTTAATTGGATCTAGAATGATGTGTGCTAAATTTGGTGATAATCGGTTCAGATTTAGATATAGCTCTCATATATATTTTCATCCGATTTTATTTAAATTGTGCACCAAAGTCCTTATATATCCTTCGAAATTTGGCATAGCGTACTGAATAAAGTCTTGAACCATGTGTATTAAATTTCCTGAAAATCGATTCAGATTTAGATATAGCTCCCATATATATTTCCGTCGGATTTAATGCAAATGGTGCACCAAATCCCCTATATAACTTTCGATTTGCACGAAATTTGGCAAAACGCAATAAATTGAGTCTAGAATGATGTGTGTTAAGTTTGGTGAAAATCGGTTCAGATTTAGATATAGCTCCCATATATATTTTCGTAGGATTTAATGCAAATGGTTGCATGAAATTTGGCACAACGCACTTAATTGGGTCTAGAATGATGTGTGCTAAGTATAGTGAAAATCGGTTCAGATTTAGATATAGCTCCCCGAAATTTGGACTTAATTGGGTCTAAAATGATGTGTGCTAAGTTTGGTGAAAATCGGCTCACATTTAGATATAGCTCCCATATAAATTTTCGTCCGATTTAAGGTAAATGGTGCACCAAAGTCCTTATATATCTTTCGATTTGCACGAAATTTGGCACAACGCACTTAATTGGGTCTAGAATGATGTGTGCTAAGTTTGGTGAAAATCGGTTCAGATTTAGATATAGCTCCCACAGATATTTTCGTCGGATTTAATGCAAATGGTGCACCAAAGTCCCTATATATCTTTCGATTTGCACGAAATTTGGCACAACGCACTTAATTGAGTCTAGAATGATGTGTGCTAAGTTTGGTGAAAATCGGCTCAGATTTAGATATAGCTCCCATATATATTTTCGTCCGATTTAAGTAAATGGTGCACCAAAGTCCCTTTATATCATTCGATTTGAACGAAATTTGGCACAGCGTACTGAACTAAGAGTAGAATGATTAGTGTTAAATTTTGTAAAAATCGGTTCAGATTTAGATATAGCTCCCATATATATTTTCGTCCGATTTTTTAGTAAATGGTGCCTCAAAGACCCTATATATATTTCGATTTTCACGAAATTTAGCACAACACACTTAATTGAGTCTAAAATGATGCTAAGTTTCATGAAAATCGGTTCAGATTTCGATATAGCTCCCATATATATCATGGTCCGATTTTATGTAAATGATGCACCAAAGCCCCTCTAAATTTTTCGATTGACACGAAATTTGGCAAAACGTACTGAATTAAATCCATATTGATGTATGTTAAGTTTTGGAAATATCTAAAGGTGATTTGTCTGTTCTATCTACAGTCCATAAGGCCTAGATTTAAAAAAATAAAAAATAAAACTATATTTGTTTTCAATTTTTTTGTACTCACCAAGAAAAACGCAGTTAAAAACAGTGAAATAAATGGCAAAAACATGAAGACATAAACATAAAATGCCGCTGCCAACGTTTGTATACGACGTTTGGGTGGTACATGGACCGGAGCCCATTCAATTTTCATATGACTAGATATTTCTTTAAATTCTTTTTGTAGCTCATCTATTGCTTCTTTGGACATTTTCTCAATTTTCTCCCTGGACTCTTTGGAGAATTCCTTAATTTTCTCCTTCGACTCCATGGAGAATTCCTTTAGTTTTTTATTGGATTCCTTGATTTTTTCTTCCAGCACGGTCATTTTGAGGTCTTATTTCTTGTTTTTCAAATATTATTTCAAATTCAAACAAATAGTTTGTTGTAAAGACAAATCTATTTTTAATATTCCATAAAAATTATATATGTATATTTTTGTGTTTTGTTTATTTTAGTTTTCAGTTCACAAAATGCCACTGCACTCAAAGGTAAATGTAAGGCTAGGGGGTGGACGGATGTGTAGTTTGTTTTTGAATTAATTTATTTATTTGTGTGTTTCGCTTTCAACCAGCAATGCCGTCTATTCTCGTTAAAATTCTAAATTCAACTGAAAAAAAACACATGAAATGTCGTATATTCATTCTGTGGAATCTCACACTCACGCCAGTGAGCGTTAGTCAGACACCCCATTTGCCGGCCATACGCGATTCATTTCGCATCCGAATCTTATCTAAGTTCCAACGACTAGCCAGTATTTATTGTCCAGTTATCAGAGTATGAAACAAATTCTAAATTCTGAATAATGACTTCGTAATTTATCGTGTTTACATTTTATTTTTTTTCAAATTCTCTCTCTCTCTCGGAATTGAACTGCAATCGCCAGACAGTCAATGTTATTAATTTTACAACTCATTTTTTGTTAATGTATTTTGTTTTCAAAGGCGTTTGTTTGATTAAATAAAATAATCTTTTGGTGAATATTAGGGTGGTATTTAAAAATAATTTTGTTGTGAACATTTCCAATATATATTTTTTTAAAGGTCCATTCCTTATTGATTGAAAACTTCAACAAATGTGTTGATTTTACAAAATATAGAAAACTTATTGTTTCGCTCCTAAAATTTGTATATGAAAATATGTTAACAATGGCGCCCAAAAGAATGTATTATGCATCCCACTAATACTAGTGAACAAAATTAGTATTGTGATTGAAATATAGATGGCGATCTGTCAGATTGTCTATCATCTACATAAAGTACCTCGGAAAGGGTCCTATTTATAGAACGCATATATAAATAAGTAAGTAAAGTAGTAAAGTCGGACTGGGCCGACTATATGATACACTTCACCACTTTGGGTATATTCTACATAGTCTTCTAACAGATGTCGCCTTTTCCAAAGAACATTGTCATGAAATTGAACGAACTCGAATATGTGATCTGTATGCCTTTCTAGAACCTATCCTAAATTTAATTTTATTTGGACAAGTTTGGAGTCGTTTGCGTACTAATGGGACAAATTTGTGTATATCGATTTAGAACAAACTTGATACACGCCATTCGGTAGGCAGCACTCTTCAAAATATAATCTCAATCAGACATCCGTTTGAAATATATGAAAGCTGTACCTGTACGGTACGCTATGCAAAATTTCGGGCAAATTGAAAGATATATAGGGACTTTGGTGTACCATTTACATTAAATCGGACGAAAAAATATATGGGAGCTATAACTAAATCTGAACCGATTATCACGGAACTTACCACACATAATTATAAACTCAATTAAGTATGCTGTGTTAAATTTCGGGCTAATCGAAAGGTATATAGAGACATTGGTGCACTATTTCTATTAAATCGGACGAAAATATATATGGGAGCTATATCTAAATCTGAACCGATTTTCAGGAAACTTAGCAGCTATAATTACGCTGTTCCAAATTTCGTGCAGATCGAAAGATATCTGCACCATTTACCATAAATCGGGCGATTTTCAGGAAACTTAGCGCACATCATTCCAGACTGAATTCAGTAAGCTGTGCAAAATTTTGTGCAAATCGAAAGAAATGTAGAAATTTACATAAAATCGGACTAAAATATATATGGGAGCTATATCTAAATCTGAAGCGATTTTAACGAAACTTAGAACACATCATTATAGCCTCAATTAATTACGCTCAATTTTTTTACTCACCAAGAAAAAAAAAAGCAGTTAAAAACAACGAAATTTTATATGTAATACAGGTTTGATGTATGGAAATGGTTTTAGAAATTCGTACTTATGTGTATGAAATGTACTAAATTGTACTAAATTTGGTACAAGTTACATTTATGTGTACATATAGAGCTAGAGTCTAGAAATTGGGAGTTAAAATGTCGGTTGGAGATTATGATTGTGGATGTTTAGGAAATTCGTACTTATGGGTACGAAAAGTATTAAATGGTACTAAATTGAATACAATTTAGATTTTGGGTGAAGGGATAGAGCTGAAAACCTGAATTTTGGAATTAAGATTACTGTTGAGGATTGAGATATAGAGAAATCTTTGGATATTCGTATTTTTGTGTACGAAAAGTACTAAACGGCACTAGATTTGATACAATTTGAATTTGGATGAAGGGAGAGAGCTGGAAACCTAAAATTTGGATTAATGGTTGCTGTTGGAATGTAGAATTGAGCTATTGAAGTATTATACTTATGTGTAGGAATTGGTTAAAATTGGGTAATTCCGAAACGTACTAGTTCATTATTCCGATAAGGGAATGACAGGAACAAGATACAGTTCTTTAGATCCTATAGTTCCTTTTTCTGATCTTGTTCCTGCATTAAGGAAATAAAGTAGATACATAATAAAAAATATAATTTCTGATTATCGTCATGCAATTAAATTCTATAGCTTCTGAATATTCTACTCGATAGAAATTACTTAAAATCAACACTATTTTTTTTATTTTTGATCAATATGTAATTTATTGCGATTTTTTAACCTTACCGGCTTCAGAACCACTCTAATATTTGCATATATTACATACAAAAGTACATAGAGTATATATACTAACTGTATATCAATACACTTCGACAACCGGCAATGTAATTACACTGCTGTGTTGTTTGTTGTTATTATAAATTGATTGTTTGAACTTTTTTCTACGTTTCTCCATGAAATTGAAGCGCGTAATCATCTCACAAGTTCTAGGCGTAACGAACAAAACAACACATTTTGAAATACCCCACCATACTCGACTAGTGTATTATATTTTCACTTTCAACATTGACTCATGCTCATGTCGCTATCATTATCATCGTCGACGTCCGTCCATGCAGTTCAAATTCTAAACTAATTTGTATTGTAAATTTTATTTTCCGGCTTCAGGCGTTTGTTTATATTCAATATGGAAATTTTGTAATAGAAACATGAAACAAATACGACACAGTAGATCGCTACAATTGGGTTGCTAAAATTGAAACTGAATGTCAATCTATTAAAAGACAATTTTTTCTTTGTTGGATCTACTGGAAGTCGATTGTTTACTTCCAGCAATATTTTCCGATGGGAAGAACCACTCTTAAGATAAGTAATTGAACATTTTTATACACTCCACCATAGTATGGAGGGTATATTAATTTTGTCATTCCGTTTGTAACTTATCGAAATATTCATTTCGAACCCTATAAAGTATATATATTCTTGATCAGGGTAAAATTCTAAGACGATCTAGCCATGTCTGTCCGTCCATCTGTTGTAATCACGCTATCTTCTGAGGGAATTGAGATAGGGTGCTGAAATTTTGCGTAGGGTTATCTATTGTCTGGAGGCAGGTCAAGTTTGAAGATGGGGTATATCGGTCCACGTTTAGGCATAGCTCCCATATAAGGGTACCCGCCAAATTTCGGTATTTGGGGTTCTTGAGCGCGCTTTTCAGCCGAATTATTGGGTTCTAAATGTCTCTATAAAACAAATTTGCTACATTGGGTTGTTATTGGGTACTAAATGTCTCCACAAAAAATTATAAGTATAGGTCCACTTTTTCTGGTAACCCCCATATAACGGTACCTCCTAATTTTCAGTATTTTGAGGGTTTTGGTCGTATTTTTCCACCGAATTGGCTGTAATTTAGTATTTTGAGTTCTTCACAGGTACCAAATCTCTCCAAATTATGAATATAGGTCCATTTTTCAACCGAATTCGCTGCAATGTAGTATTTTGTAGTCGCATATGGTAACAAATCTCCCTACTAAAATTATTAATATTCGCACCCTTCTTGGCGTAGTCCCCATATAACCACCTTTTTATATTAAATAGTTATCTGATTTGTTCTGCGTTTTGGGTTTGGTTCTAAGACTCTGTTGTAATCATTTCACCTGCGGAGGATAGAACGGGCCTAGGCCTAGCCCCTGTGTGGGATGTACCAGAAGGAGTGGATCGATATTTCCCATCTTCGAACTTGAACAAAGTTTGGAATAAATAATAATATAGGCAAAGTTTGGATGAAATCAAAATTTTCTGAAATGGATTTGGTCCAAAAAACGTGGGGTCCAATATTTCGACGAGGCACATTTTCACTGTATCAATGTGTATACACCCTGAAATTATGGTTTACATAATCAGTTTGTAGAAAGGTCACTTTTTGGTATGTTCCCTTTATTTTCATTTCTAGTACAGGCCAGTATATCTATGGTAGAGGGTATTCAAAGTTCGGCCCGCCCGAACTTAACGCTTTTTCAATTGTTTAATGTTAAAATTCTCACCCAAGGTCCATTAAACAGATTGTGTAAGAAGCAATCGTAATCGGCTATTTGATTGAAAATCCCCCATACTGTAAATTTTTTACGT